GCTGTATCGCCGACCCGGAAGCCCTGTCTGCTACTCGCAGCAGCTCCTCACGAGCAGCTACACGTCGCTTGACCAATCAGAGCACACTGGGCTCACAGGGAGGGGGGGGGGGGCTCCAACAACCCGTTTAGGACAGAGAGTGAATACACATACTTTACAGAGATGCTGTTTGAGAAACCAATGTGAGTTTGGAAAATTTCAAAATATAAATCTATTCTGGTAGACCTCAACAATGGAATTATGATCAGTAGAAATGGCCATGACATGGGACCTTTAAGTTAAAAGTTAGAGTTAAGCTATCCTGTAGTAATGTGATTATGGGACAGGGAGGTGTGTATATTTGATCTCTGCTGAAGTAGAACGCCTTGTCAACTTGCCCCACTTAAACAAACTCAAACTTAATTTTGAAAGTACTTTGATGCATACTCAGCTTTAAACTGATACCCCATTTATGTATCTGTGTCTAACGGTGCACTTTGACCTCACTTTAGGTTCACATCCAGAACTCCACTCTTGCTGGAGGCGTTGCGGTGGGAACTGCAGCTGAGTTCATGTTGATGCCCTATGGGTCTCTGATCGTAGGATTCTGCTGTGGTATCATCTCCACCCTGGGATATATCTACCTCACGGTATGCTATTTAACTGGTTTATTGGGTATAGCTATTGAGAGATAAGCCTCAGTGTCGTTTTTGAAAATGCCCAACAAACAATGAAGGCAATTAGCTAGAGAAATATACAAATGTAAACAAAAATACAAAACTCTTTGACTCTCCACAGACATATCAAAACTTACTTCCCCAAAATATTTCCCCAACTTTTGTTTTGTTTTTGTTTAGTTGATATACTCTCTGTCAGAGTGTGCTTTCCTACATTTGCCACTCATTATCTTAGCTGCTTTTACGGCTTTGAAGTCGACCATCAGTCCGACCTGCCTGTTTTTAAGTAATCACAGCCAAACTTAACTGATGTGTCCATCCCAGCCTTTCATGGAGAAGTACCTGAAGATCCAGGACACATGTGGAATCCATAACCTGCATGCCATGCCAGGAGTCATAGGTGGCATCGTGGGAGCCATTACTGCCGCAGCTGCAACAGAGTCTGTTTATGGCGTTGAAGGGTGAGTGGCTTACAAACAGAGAGGTCATCTAACTGGATAAAAGATGATCAACCGGCAAATTAATACTTTGTATCATTCCCAAATATGGGCTTTTGTTGTACTGTGTCTCCTTTTTTGTTTTAAAGGCTCAAAGAGACCTTTGATTTTGTGGGTGACATGTCACCCACAAAGCAAGGTGGTTACCAGGCAGCAGCCCTCTGTGTGGCTATCTGTTTCGGTGTGGGCGGAGGCATCCTTGTCGGTAAGGGAAAACAGCAAACACCCTTAAGTTCAGCCTGTAAATTATACAGTAATTTAATAACTGCGACATAACTCTGTTTGCATGCAGTGAATGAAGGACTGTGTGTGTTGGGATACTGACTCTGTTTGTGTCTTCTAAGGTTGTGTTTTAAGATTACCTATCTGGGGAGATCCTGCAGATGACAGCTGTTTTGATGATGAGCACTACTGGGAGGTGAGAGACTTTTATGTAATCATAAAGAGTTTTGTTTTTTTGCTGTTTGAATAGGAATAACAATATCAAATCACAATGAAGGAAGAAGATTATTCCACAAAAAGTCAGATTGGGACCAAGTCCAGCTGGTTTACCCAAAACATGTGTATATATATCAAAACATACACTGCTTTACAGGATAGACATTCTTTGCTTTGCTATTTTAGTTTGGGAACATTTGATTGATTTGTGTTCATTACCCTGTTTTTCCACTTGTTGTGTGTGTGTTAGTAAATGATCTGCAGTCATTCTGCCACCTCTATTTACAAAAAACAGTTCATCATTTGTATGCCAGGAGCAAGTGCACACTGCATCATACATTTCGTTTTACCTGTTTGATCCTGGGGTTATTAGTCTTCCACTTTAATCATGTTGTTAAACTCTTAATTGTTCACAGCTTCCTCAGGATGAAGAGAGCACCCAACCAGTCCTTCAGTACAACAACCACATGCGGAACAAAGACGTGTAAGTGTCCTTAAAGGTCTTTTGACGACAGGTTGCTGGGTCATGGGGTTTTGATATTCTCACAACAAACCACCCTACAGGTTGTGCCTTTTTTGATGAGGAGTGAGATGCCTTCAATATCCTCTTGGTGGCAGCAGATCCACATTTTCTGAGGATACATGTGACACATTGTAATTCCTTCCCTTTGTTGGGAATATATATTCACAGTGTTGAATACAGTGTGAATACACAATTAATGAAATCTATATATGTATCAGTGTCCCTGTCACTCAATGTGGGGGCTAGATTACCAAATGCTGACGTGGACCCTGGGCTCTTTTTTCCCAAGTGAAGCTTATTTGTGCTCTTTGTTGATAGGGGTTTTTCACAGCACATCACTGCAAGTCTCCAATTAGACCTTGAAGTCATGTTTACTGTGGAAGTGAAAATGATATTAGATACTAGATTTAAAAAATAGCTGAATTAGCTTGATTGTAATTTACCCAGTAAACTGTCCAGGATTATCTACAGGCCTTAGAAGAAAACATTTTGAATCCTCACACTGTGAGCAACAACTTGTGTTTGAAGTTTCATTGGTTTTTGTTACTCATCATGTGATGTTCTTTTTTTACAGAATTGAGACAAACTTCAACATGCAGCAGACCTAAAGCTTTAGGTGTTGATCCTGATTGATCTTAATCTTTGAACCCACGTCCTGTTTTATTTGACTTATTTTCTCATTCTTGATATCAATTATTGATTTGAGTGTTATTCTTATCAAATCCAAACCACTAATGTTTTAACATTGATCGCAATAAATGTGTGTTAATATGTTGTTCAGCCTGGGGACTAAAAATATGTAAGTGAAAAAACGCCATAAAATGTTGTTTTCCAAGATATTTATTCTCAGTTAAATCAAATATAATTCAATCACATATTTGGTGTTAAATATGAGAGGTGTTATACCGGTACTAGTGACTTGCCTTGTTTCAACAATTACAGATTCTTAATAGATTGAAGTGTGGGCCTTTAAAACTTTGGTTTCTTTAAGTGCTTTCGAGTTATTTAAAACCATGATTTCAACAATATTGAATTTGAATTAAGTTTTGAACTGGATTTCCACGTCAAGCTGTCAGGTTTGTTTGTAAGCTTTATATTTATTTTCATGGTTGCTTAACTTTATATTGCATATAGACTTAACCTAAATATGTGTCTTAATTTTACAATCGGATGTAATGTTATTGATTTTAAAATAAAGAGCTGTTATACTTGTTTTGAAGTTATGCTGTGACATAAAGGATGTGTGGTAACACTTTACCAACAGAATGATACATTTATAAGCAATATATAAACACTTAATTGTCCAGTAAGGACCTATAATGTAGTTTTAGGACAAAGCAAAAGAAACTATAGGAGTTGTGTTTACTACATTTGTATTTATTAATATATCTGCTTTTATAATAACATGGTTTATAAGAAACAATATATTAAATGTTAATGTGCTGCTTATAAAATGTTGATTGGAGGGTTAAAGCAGCGTATAAGCAAGCCTTTTTATTCACGTAACGATGAATGACTTTGTCAAAAGCTTATTTTTTACATTTACATGTTGTACACAGTAGAATCTCATGGTATTTTAAAAGGGAAAAGTTTGTTAATGGTAATTTTGAAAATTAATAAAGTTCATTTATTCAAACATTTGCATGATGTATACAGTATGCTGTACCCATTGTATTTTAATTTAGAACAGTATGTATGTTTTTTATAATTGAATCTATTCACATGCACTTTGACCAAATAGTTAATAGAAAATCGATATTTAACACTTAAAAGAGGAGGAAATAAGTTTACCCTCATTTAAAAAGCCCTTCAGCATCCCCTCTCTGGTGGAGTACGACTGAGGGTAAAGGGCACACCCTTACTGCTCTGTTGGGACACTGTGGTCCCCAATAACAAACTGCAGACCATCCTCATCCTCATGACCTCGGGTCAAAGAGTAACAAGAGGGCAAGGTCACTGGCAGGGCTGCACACGCTGGAATACATCATTTAAAATTGATTGATGGAGATAATATCTGGGGAAACAATGACAGTGAACGCTTGTTACTAAAAATGTGTAATTGATTTGAAGATAAATAGATGTCATAATGTCATTAAATACTGGACGTCGGTTTACGGTGCAGTTTTTTCTGTATCTTCCTCATCGTCTTTTTGCAATGTCATTTCCACATGCTCTGTCCACCTGGCTGCGTTGTTTCCCTGATGGAGGGCTGGCAGCAGCTCATGGTGGGAGTGTGGATGATTCCCACACATGAGTAGCAGCGAGGAATCCATGGCCTCGTCCCGTCTCCTCGCTAACAAAGGCAAGCTTAGTGCTGTTTTCTTTTGTCATCAGTAACGTGTTTGAGTAAAGGAGGTAATGGTGCCACAAGTGCTCCAATTAAACGAGATGCAGCCCTGCTGGGAAGAAAGGCTCCCCCATTGCCCCCGATACCCCCCAAATACACACACACTCAGACCGGGCCTCTTCTCATCCTACCCCCATGCCGTTCCCGCCCCAACTCTACTCATGTTTATTCATCAACCACTTACAGGGCAAACGCAGAGGCCTGTTAAAACTAAATCAGACTTATTTATATATGATGCCAGATCTTCCCCTTTGTACGTTAAGGGAGCTTTACGGCATCCTGGCAGCCATGTTTGATGTTTGCCCTCCTTTGGACAGGCCCTGACCACACATGTGACTCCCACAACAAAAAACACCAACTGTACAGGGACAGCAGGGAGAGACCCAGAGGCCACGGAGAAGGTGAGATGGAAAAACTTGAGGAGGCAAAGGGGCATGAAAAGGGGGAGGGACAGACAGAGAATGAGGCCTCACTTTCATTGCTGATGACTGACTGCTTGCCATCCGGGCTCAATCATGATCTTTGATTGACAGGTCAGCGGGAAGGAAAGGGTGGGAAACAGGGTGCAGGACAAGAGCTTAGAATGGGAGCAGCACAATATAACTCCCATGCAGGGGGCCGCACAGACGCTCATTAATGATAAAGAACATACCAGGATAAGCATGTTTTCCCTGCATGCCAGCGATGTTGTTTGTAGGTTGAGATTAGTTTTTAATCTTCTATACGTGCTTATGTGAAATGTACAGAGTACAACGTGGGAGGTCGTGTCAGAGCACCTGGCTTGGGCTAGTTGGCTTTTTGTCTTTTTGCCATTATTCTAAGAAAACAACGTAATGTGTCTAATGGTGATTATGTTGCCAGGGTATTCATCTTTTTGTTTTACAGTTTGCATATGTGTCAGTCACTCTGCAGTAACAATCTCTGAATTCACTTTACAGTTACGAGGATCTACAACGGTTAGAGAAGTATTCAGGGATCCATGTTCACTCCCTCATAAAGAGAGCAGTAAAAGCCCCCATTGAAAGAAACCACAAGTCCATAGAACTGCTCATAAACTATTCAAGCCCTGACTCCTTTCTCTATACTTAATCTACTCACGTTTTGTGCAGCCTCAGTGTCCCCTAAAGGTTGCTTCTTAGCAGGTGCATCTGACTTCTAAAACCCCTCTGACCATTTAGATCTGGACTTTTCAAAAACGAATACTACGTTGCTTTTTTTCCGCACATCAGTTCTGTCCTCATCAGTGATTGAAAGTATCGTCAGTGTCGTATTGGGGCCCTTTTGTCACATTTTCTGAGTTGTTAGCAGTTCTACCATTGTGACTTCACTTCTAAACTTCTCAGATTGAGTCATTTAAATAATTGTTTTAGGCATAGAGAGGTCCAAATGTCAGACGCTTTAACAAAATGAGCAAGGATTCCAATGGTTCAAAACATTGGTGTTCATTATTTTTTGCTTTCCTATTACTTGAATCAACTAGATTTAATTTCCTTTGTACCACATACATTTGAAGCTTACTTAGGTGCATGAAGTGCATGAAGCTGTTAAAAAGCTTAACCTTCATCAGCTAAAATGTAAAATCCTGCCTAAATGTTACCGTTCAACTAAAATCTGTAAAAGGGTCATTCTAAATATTGAGTTATTTTATTGTATTGTTTAGGTACATTTCTAAATTGCACTTTCAAGCAGTACTTTGATCATTTTATTATGTTGTATTGATATACGTTTACTGTAGTGAAATGCTTTGAATGCTTCTTCCAGACACAGGACCCACTGTAGAGGATTAAACACTTTCACTTGGACACACTGGACTTAAATGCTGTAAAGAAATGCCAAAAGTGTTTCCCTTTATTGTTCAAATCTCCAACCCTGACCAACAACATAAACTAAATGCACACCAATGCACAGATGTCAGATCAATGACAGAAGATATTTTTCTGCACAATCTTATGATACTTCAAGTACATTTGCTGATGAAACATCTATAACATTTGAATGAAGGACTTTTACTAATACTGGAGCAGCCTGTATATTGCTGTAGGCCCTTTGGTAGGCCTACATTACCTTGATTAAAGTCTTTCACCACTGCCCATTTGTGTTTTCCCCTTCTGTTCTCAACATGCTGACGGGCCTCCCAGCTCCGGCCTCCCCAGGTATCCCCAGGCCTCCCCACGCCACTAACTGTCCACAGAGCCTGCTTAAGTGTCCCTATCGGACCACAGTGGAGAGGAACAGCAGATTAACCATGATCCTATCTGCTCACCGCTAGCCCCTTCATACGCTCCGTTACACCAGCATTTAAAAGGAGGAGGGGACGCCATTCAGGCCCCTGATATGAATCCCAGACGAAGGGACAAGAACAGAGCTTTCACCCCCGTTTCACAGAAAAGAACCCTTTCTGGCACCCTCTAATTCTGGTTGCTACGGGCTCCTGGGTTCAATGGTGGACTCCCGTTGTGAGGGGACAAAGCCTCTCAGTCATCCGGCCATGGTTGCTAGGGGAGGCAGAATGTATGGGGAGGGACGGGCTGCCGTTGTCCCAGACGAAATGTCTCTCTCAAGGCGGCTGAGATGTGGTGATTGACAGGTGGCTACACGCTCCAGTGCGGATCACCAGGGAGGTCTGGGGGGCCTTATCTGTGACCGTGTGTGTATAAATGGGTATTCATGGCAGGTTATGGTATTTGGCATTGGCATATGGTTTTTAGGTTTCTGTGGCACCGTTTATTACCTGTAGAGGGAGCTGCTCCTGCTTCAACTCGATGTTCCATCAGCCTTTAAATGATTCAGTTTTTAACCTGGCTGGCATTGGTGGTAAAAACACCATTTCAATAATGTAAAACTAACCTGATAGGCCTAAATCGTTCATTTGAAACCATATGTTAAGCCCTCCTCTAGTCAAAAATATGTTTTTTAGGCTCAATTCTTTTCATTTTGATGTTTGAACTTGACTGTACAGAATGATCTTCTGAAGGGGAAAGTTTCTCTGAGTTCAATACGTTCATTTACTAGCAGCATTACAGATAGCTTGAAAGCCAATCATGTCCTTCGGAAAAAAACATTTGAACTAGCAAGAAGCAGTAGATGCGACTTTAACCAGGCAATTTTGAAATGTTTTGTGGAAAAACCAGATGAGACACAAGTGATAATTGTAAGCAACTCATATGAGTGATCTTAAACTCAAAGTTTTACTAGCACAATGAACTATAAGTAGAAGTGCTTCCACATTAAAATAGCCCTCCTGACTGATGTTAGATAGACCTAACATTGTTAGATTCTTAATCATATACTATAATTCATTTTTTATTTGGTTGCCTGTGTTGGAGCTAGTTTTAACCTGAATGAACCAGAGTTCAGTGAGTCCCAACATTGCAATAGGGCCCCTCCAAAGGGTCTTGTTAAATCTGCGGGGTAGTGATGTGATTAATGTGCTTCAAATGTATCTCATCCTGTCTAGACTTTTCTCCGATCTTTTGTTTTCTGTGTGTGAAATATATAATTGTACCTGTTTTGGCTTCCTAACTATGTTTTAAAAAGAAACCATGTGAGGAGTTTAGAGTGGAAAGGACTATGTGGTGAAAATTATACAAATTCATGTAAAAAAAACACATAAAATATGTGTTGATGGTTCGTCATAGAATATGTGTTGGCACACCATTGTGTTGTTAATAACTAGGAGGTTTGACACCTATATGTTTTGTAAAGGTTCACAATGCTACATCCTAAACCAGTGTCACTCTGAACGCTTACATTTGTGGTCTAAATAAAAAATGTTTCATTTTTTTTTTAATTACAGTCTAAATTCACTAAGTATATAGAAACTTAAGGACCACAATGTAGGAACAAACTCCAACAACAAATGACATAAACAATCACAGAGCATGTACATGGTTAGTGTCAGTCTAGCGCGCTTTATGTTGTCTCATATTGTATACAATATAGTCTAAACAGCTTTACAGTCAGAATCAAATATATAGCTTTTGTTAGACAGAGAGAGCAC